ATATGATTTAACTATTATTGTGAAGCATTAAATAACTTACATAAGTTATAATATATATATGTATAAAAATTAACCGTTATTCACTGCTTCACAATAATAGTTAAATTATATACAAGTTAACTGTTACTGGGAGGCAATGAAATTGAAATCCATATATATACAGTTTACTAATATATATATTAGTTAGTTGTATATGTACGTGTGTATATATATATTAGTTAACTGTTATTTTATATATATTAGTTAAGTTATATCAGTTATATATTGAACTGTTATCTATAACAGCTAATATATGTTAACTGTTGTATATAGATGTTATTATATATGTGTGTGTGTATAGTAATAAAATAGGTTCTTTAATTTTCAGTAGGTTACTTATGCTAATTAATATATAATATATATATTAATTAGCACAAGTATTAAACCTATTGAAAATTAAAGTCTCTCTTTTTATCATTATAATAAATGAATGCTTGAAATATTTGATCATCATTTGACAAAACTTGATTGGTCAAATGCTAAGTATTTGTTGACCCCTACTGTGGGTATGCTGCTAAGGCCCAGATTTTTTTATGCAGTTAGATAATGCCTCATCACTATGCGGCCTGTCACCAAGTAGATTTTTTCAGCTGAGTTAGTTTGTTTTCAGTTGGGCATCAGCAGTACTTAAGACTGCTCCAAGAATGTCAACTGATGGAATAACACAGATACACAGGTTAGGCAGTGTCTGAGCTGCAACTCTGACAGTATCAGTGATACCAACATGACAAAATCACTACCTTAAGGTTTACCTGAATTGTGGCAGTAGCAAGGCTCATGTGGAGGGACACAAGTAAACCCACCTAAGTCCAGCCCACCTGAGCCTATGTTGTATTGCACTCAAGTATGTCAGTGAGGCCACTCCAAACTCACCCCTGACAACTGCTGTCAAGAATACCAGAGCTCAAGAGCAGAAACAGAGGGATAAGTCTCATGTAGCCTCACTGGCATACAACCAAGTTTGGAGCATGTCCATGGGCCCAGATTACAGGACATACTCAGACCCCTGTCACAGGACCAAAGCCAACCCTAGGGATGTGCGGGGCCAGGGGCATATCAGCCTGTGTGGGACCTGTGTGGGGGGGCAGGGGGTGGCGAGACAGTGGAGCAGTGTGGGTGGCAAGGTGGTGCAGCACAGATTAGGGTGGGGTGGCAAGTGGGCAGAGTGGGGAGAGGGGGGGCAGGTGCTGAGCAGCTAGAGTGTGAAGCCAGCGGCGCATGGCAGCGGCGCAGAGTGGTGGTGCCCTCAGCATGTGCCAATGGCGCTGTCTGCAGTACCTGTACGGCACTGTCCACAGGGACCCCCAAAGTGTGGGACCCAGGGCGGTCACCCCGATTCGTGCCCCCCAAGGGGTGGCTCTGGCCAGGACTCACTGCTGCCGCAAAGTAGATAAGCCCTTAGTGACTTTTGAAAAGCAGGCATAGTTATTACAATCCTGAATGTATCAATCCCTAAAATCTGGGCCTAACTACTTGAAATAATGCCAAAGTACCACTGGATGACTATCAGCTTTATGTAAATGATATATGGAGTTCATCTACTCTAGGACTTAGTAGTGGTTAGGGAAGACTTTATTTCTTATTCTAGCCTTTATGACCCAAGTACCAACCTGGGCAACATCAGGTATGATGCATCACCCACTTGCAAGATATTGCACTTGCTTTATAGAAAGGTGTAATGTCTTTGAGTATGGGCAAATATTGTCAGTGATAAGCTCAGTATCTACAACTGCATTTAAGATGGTTCTCCTGAGCCTAGAAACTTTTTAGACATTTTAATACAGGCAGCATGGAAAAGTAACTAGCAACCATTAATATTTTGAAGCTCTGACAATTACCATCCCCCACCCCACACCCACACTAGACACCTGATTACACAAGAGCAGACTATGTACTTACCTTACTGCAAATTGACAAGAACTTTGGCATTTAAGTAAAAAGAACAACATAAAATAGTTGATTTGAATACATGGAACTTAATGTCAGGTCACTTTAGTGCTCAAAAAGGGCGTCGGTATATTAACAACATGTCACATTTATTCAAAGAACAAGCACTACAAGGGTAGAAGATCCAATACTGCACTATTCAAATACTTCAAATATTGTCTCCTGAAGTACTTAAGTAGTGTGTTTGTGTGCCAAAGATGTTCCAGTGAAACTATTTCTAGAAGTTCACTGAACTGAACAGGAAGTTCAATAAGTCTGTTTACCATGATCAGTTATACGACCTAGACTGAGACTATCACATTGAAAGACATCAGCCAAATACTACACAGAGATCACTATGGAGCTCCATTTGAATGTGTGGCCTAGAGGTGAAATGAGCTATGTACATTAGCAGCCTTTTGGATAAACATAATCCTTAGGATGGTTTAAATGTGGTTTAAACCTGAAGTAGACACACAAGCACACCTGTTAAACAGGTTTAAAGCCACCTGGGATGGTTCAAAAGTGAGCCTGAAAAAACAATACTATTTTGAACCAGTTCAGTCCTTTGAGTGGACACCAAGAGTTCCACAACCCTGGCTTGCTCAGTCCACCAGGCACTCCATGCTGCATCAACTCCTCTCCTCCCTGCACTTGGCAGCTCTGGTACACAACCAGACCTCTTCTGCAATGTTTCCCAACCTTTTCCAGTCCAAGGCACGCTTACACTAATAAAAAATTTCTGTGACACCTGTTAAGCCATTCCCCATCCTTATACCTATTGTAGCTCATTGCCATGGCAAAGTTCTGCGGCATGCCTGTTCATTTCTGATGGCACGCTTTTGTGCCACAGCACATTGGTTGGGAAACACTGCTATACTGTCTTTTTTTTCCCCCTTTGCTGGGAGTTTTTAATCAATGAGCTCCCTTGCAATACTTTGTCAATAAAAGCTGTTTCTAACAACCAGCTGCATCCTCACTCTCTATTTGACTGCAACCGCTCATCAGCCCCATACAGACCCTGGGAGCCAAAAAGAGTAGATCTACTTCTCCCCCATCAGGCAAGCGAACTGCAGACTTTGGTCATCTGCAGGCTATTGAAGTTTACTGAATTCACATTTTGGACAGGAGAAGCGAAAAAGTGAAAAAGCATGGGTGCAAGCACTCCCCTCCCCTCTCTTACTCCCCCACCCTGACTTACTCTCTGAATGGCATATCAAGTTGGGTCCTTACTGCCACTCCCAGGTGCAAGATTCACAACACATCACATAATTGCAAATCAGCTCTCAGTCAGTTATGGACAGTTCAATTTTTACGTGCGTCTGCACCCTGTTCTGCAAGAATTGTTAACTGGCTTCCAATAGGTGCCATTTTGAACAGTTTATTTGTTATGTATGTCCACACCCTTAGTGGTCTATCACAGCTTCAGTTCAGGTGCTCAAAGCTGAGCATGTCAAATATACTTTAGCTCTCAGTGCAGATAAACTGACTCAAGGGCTTGTTGAACAATTCCACTTTATATTGTATCACAACAATATTTAAGCAAAATAAGATACAAAAAAACTAATCAAAAGTCTACATCTTTATTAGTAAAAATATATCAACTAAAACTATTATATTAAAATAAAGGACTACTGTCTGTCTGTGAATTAATGGAGTTATATGAAATCTAGGATCTTTCTAAGTGTAGTGCAAAAAAGAATGAATACTAATACGTGTCCTAAATTATGCGAAACATTCTACAAATTCTATAAAAAGGTGCCAGTTAGATACACAGAGAAAGCCTAAGAAGAAAAGAAGACAGACAGGCATCATGCACTACAGCATTATTTTACTTACCTTGATTTGGTGTCAATCTTTTTGGGGTGGAAAATTTTATTTACCAGAACTGGAAATTGGACTAATTATATAAAATTTAGACTTTCTGCAGAAAATAATTTAGAACTAAATTTTGGTCTGTTGTTTATAATCTTGACATGGAATACAAAATTCAAATAATTCACAAGGATCTACACTTGTTGAAGGTAAATAAAATGACGAGTTGATTATATAGGGCACCTACACATGTGCCCGCATGCTCTGATGTGTGCTAATTAGCATGCATCAAAGCAGACTTGATTAACCAAGTCTGCTGGTACATGCTAATTAGCATGCCTCAGTACCTCGTGTATTCAGCATCCCATGATTCAAAACGGCGGCGGGGACACTTTAACTAAAGCTCATCGAACAAGCTCTGATTAAAGCACCCCCACCACCATTTTGAATCGTGGGATGCTGAATACATAAGATCCTGTGGGCCCTTCCATTAAAGCATCCCATCTCCCCCATCCCTCATGTAAAGATGCCCATAGTGACTGGAGATAAGCTATACATTTACATTTTGATTCTGAAATTAGATTATGTTTTGATATGTTACCGTAGGTTAATTTTTCTACATTTACAATAATGTAAAATATATTTTAAAACTTTAAATAGCCAGCCCTCCAACTGGGATCACAAAACTAAACTATGTTTTTAAAATAATTATTTGAGTATGGTTTTCTCCTTATCTTATTAGACTGCAATTATGTACTAGACAATTCAGAAACAGATCTTTATTTTGGTAACAAAATGACCCTGTGACTAGGAACTCCAATAATAGATTTACAGTAGAGATTTCACTTTTGCATGCCATGCTTTCCCATCAGCTGTTGGTGTGTGTGTGTTTGCGTGTGTGTGAAAAAATGTTATTTGTGAATATGGCTCTAGTTTAAGTTCTAAAAATCAAACAGTTTTCCAAAAATGCAAAAACATGAAAATGGAGTCTTTGATACAGAAGTATGAGAAAATGGATGCTATTTCTGAGGCAAACTAACAAAGAGACAGCTAAGTTCAATAGGAAAATTTTGTTCAATGAGCATGACGTGCATGATGTAACCAATACATTTTCTAAATTTTATTTCCAGCGTTCCGGTCTATAAAAATATCCACTTTTGGCCAATTCAGTTAGCAGAAACCTAACTGATTTGTTAGTAAGCACGCTTGAACAGACTTACATCAGTTATAGTGTTCAGAGCAGTATCTGCACCAATGCTGAAATCTGAACCCGGTACATTGTTGGATACAGTTGCAGGAACCATAACCATTGGAACACAGAACTCGTCATATTTCTCACGGGCAGCTGACAGTTCCAAAAGTCCCAGGTAGGCCTGTTGGGCACAGGCACAGTGTGAACAATTAGGAGGGATAAAAAGAGGGACAAGGTTGGGGCCACAGGGAGAGCCATTTTTACCACAGTACATCACAGACTGAAGTATTAAGGAACCACTAAAATCTAACATATAAATACAAAACGTAAAAATTACAAAAGATATACATTAAAAAAAAGGCAAAGATTACATACATCTTTTGTTTGCAATGCAGTTATATACTTTAAAAGTTCCCAAATACTCTATATCATAGAATAATATTATTATACATACTAAATTCTCATACTTCTTAATATACTATTTTTTCATTCAAAATCTCAGAAATCATCTAGCAGTTTTGAATCCAACCAAAATATTTACACACATGCATACATTTATTTAGATTCAAGAAATCACACAATAAATTACTTAAATTTAATCACAGGCTTAAAAGCTTTCCTGAATCTAGGATTGTATAGAGGGAAAATCCTTTGAGGAAGAGAGTGAAATCCATTTGACACATACAGGTGTTACATTTCTCCCATTTCTACATTTCGTCTGGTAGAACAGGAGATATGTGTACAAATATTCTCTTAATCTCTCCTGGGGGAATAATGCCCTTCGAGAAGACGACCTTCCAGCAGTCAACCTGGTAGATCTCCCTCGTTAGAGTATTTCTCTTGCAAGAGTAAACATCTGTATGCTTCTCTCCAAATCTAACCCAGGAGGAAGGGAGTGAAGAAGTGGGGCAATGTTCCCCACACTTCCACAAATCAGTACTTGGAACAGGTGAGGGGGGCATTGCCCTACTGCTTCAGTCACATCCTGGAACAGTCTAAGAATGGACTGGAGCAGTGAGGCAAAGTCCCCTACCATTCTCTTGACAGGGGTCTGTAGTCTGAGAGCGGGAGGGTACGGGAGGAAGCTTTGCTCAGTCCACTTGGCTCCCAGGCACCAAGAACTGAGCAGAGGAGCTGCTCTTGCGTGCTCCCTGCCTGCTCCTTAGACCACAAGCAGGTAGAGGGCTTTGCTGTACTGCTTGAGTACCCTCCTAGATAGGCCTACACACAGGCAGTAGAGTGCCCATTCCCCAAGCCTGGGTTTCCCTTGTCTGGGGACATGTGCGGTTCTGCTCTACTACCTGCTAGGAACCAGAAGAAACTTCTCCCCACACCATCCCCAAACTGGGGGCACCCCAACCTGGTGAAGGTGTGGAGAGCAGGAACGAGGGAACAACTGCAAACTGAATGCCTGTATGCTCCCTCCCCCCAAAAGATTTCAACTGATAGAAATGAATGCCTGTTCGTGGCCACTGTCTCTTAGAATAAAAGTATGTCTAGGTTATTCACACTGAAGTTACAATATATCCAAGTGTACTGTGTATATGAGTTAGCGTGGCTTAAAAACACTGGAAGTGTGGTTCTTACTATATTTTTGGATAGACTGATATTCAAAAGTGCCTACGGGAAAAATCTCCCTTATCCTGCTACCTAATCTTTGACTATGGAAAAATTCATCCTGTTATGCACTTCGAACTCTAGAGTAAAGTAGACAAACTAATAATTCTAAAACTTCTAATCCCCAAAAGCCCTTATGTCAGATACACATGTCAAAATTCACTACAAAAAAGTTAGTTATGTGAAAAAGAAAAGTTTGATGGTTAAAAGATCCTTTGTATATGCAAGACACCATCTCTACAGGTTACATTAACATATCAACCAGGCAATGTACCTCAAATCCACCAATAACCATAAGGGCATTGATGTTATAAGTGCGCATCTGGTCAGCAATCTTCTCCAAATACTTTGCAGGAAGGGTTCTAAAAATAATTAAATCAAGGGAAGAGGTCAAAAGTCTGTAGATTTCGCTAACAACCAACCAGCCTACCAAACAAATAGGTAAAGTGTCAGCAGGCAATGAAACAGTCTGCATTTTATTCACTCTCTAAGGAATCATAGCTGTGATTCTATATAGTGAACTGGTTACATCATATAATAATAAAAAGTAGGGGCACACTTTTTTTGGAAATTCACCATTCACCCCATATTTATATTAAGTTAGCCTTTAAACATGTTTTGTGCTATGTTCTGTTAAATCTCAAACAACATTATTCTTGCTTGCTTTTCTCTCACTGTCCCCCATGGTAACATGATGGAGACAAATAGAGTAATCAGCAAAGTGATACCTCACTTCAAATGCTGTGATAAATAGACTGAAGAAGCATCTTGAGCTATAAAAACCTGAGATTCTGCAGGCTTCTCTGTACAGGCACAGGGGGCACCTATACACGTGCTTGTCACCTGCTCCAACATGTGCTAATCAGCACATCAGAGCAGACTCAATTAATCTAATTAGCACACTTCAACAGCCTTGGTGTCATGTGTATTCAGCATCCCCATGCTTCAAAATGGTGGTGGGGGCACTTTAACTAAAGCTTGTTGAATAAACTATATTTAAAGCTCCCCTGCTGCCATTTTTAAGCACAGGACACTGAATACATGAGACGCTGGGGGGGATTTAATTAGAACGGCTCTTGAGAGCCACTCTAATTAAAATGCTGACCCCCTCACCCCAGAGCACATGTAAAGATGCCCAGGAAGACTTTATGAAGGACCCAACACAGGGGTCCATACCCATTGTACGCTATAGTGTAAGTCTCTAAGTTTCTTCTACAACCATGCTACTAGTAAATACCAGTAATAATACTCTCAAGCCTCCTAAAACAATGATATGCTAAAAGGGACTATTTAGTAAGGGCATATCAGTATCACAAAATACTGATCTGAATAATCTTGAATGCTAAAAAAAGAAAGGTAGTTATAGCCATGTAGTCTGAAGTCAGTCAGAAGGTAGGGTAGTTATGCACTTTTACTGACTAATTAAATATTATGTGTAGAGAGACAGCAGAAGCTTTCATGAACCCAAATGCACTTCATCAGATGCTATGAACAGATATACAGAAAGCAGATGTACAAGAAATTCTTAAAGCACAAAAAAGAAAGTACATCAATATATGCCTCCACAGTAAAGATAAACCGTTTGCTGGTTTTTGACCACTGTTACTCTACTTGCATAAAATGAATGCCAACAACATTTTTTACATTACCGTTTTGTGCCGAGAATTGATCCCCCCTGGCCAGTCCAGCCTCCAACATCTCCCCAGCTGACTGTCTTTATCTATGAATGAAAGTTAAAGAAAAGATACTATAAAGTAACTTTCCAGTCCCTAAATCTTCTCTCAGGCAGCAGCTGTATTTAACATAAACCTTTTTGAACAGATGGGGCATTTATACACATAATTTTGTGTCCCACGACATGCTGGAGATCTGCTGTTTCCAAGCAGACTCAATTAATCCAGTCTGCTCCACATGCAAGCCAAGGTGAACTATGCTGCCCCGCCTGCAGTTATATGTGGCATAATGCACGTCAGCATGCAGAAAATGGTGGTGGTGCAGTTTTGAATTAAAGCACCTCTGATGTGTCTTACTTCAAAAGCACGCCATCGCCATTTTCTCAGCGCTGACACTTATTTCACCACTTATACAACTGCAAGTGTCGCAGTGCCAGGCGCTTGGCAAGAAAGCCTCTTGATACAAGACTGTAAGTTAAGTTAAGCTCCATTGAAGTTCTATCATTTTCTTTAACCATTTCCCACCCTGAGCTCTACTAAGCTGATTGTTTTTTCTTGCTCAAGGTCACCATTTCCATATTTTGCCTCAACTTCTGGTTCTGGTCCTTTCTATGTCATCCCATCCTTTAAGCCTAACTGCAATGAAATTTAAGAATTCAAAACCAGGTCTCAAGCTTAGGCTTTTACATCTTCAAGAGAAGAAAGCATTTGTCATTCTCTTGTAAAACTCTCTGGTTTACCTAGGAAGTGGAAATTATAAGTGGAAATTTCTCTCTGGGAGCTCAGGTACACTGATATGTGAAATGGGGAAAAGGAGATAACTTAAAGAGTTTGCCATCTTTTTCCTAAAAAGAAGTCCGTCAGTTTTAAAAACAAAGCATGTCAGAAGTCTCAGCAACTGTTTGCTGTTAGTGTAGCCTGTTCTATTAAAGAGATGTGGATGATAACAGGGCACAAATGAAATAGTGAAAATGGAAATAAGGTGATTTGCCTATTATTTTGTGATTAGGAGCTTGCAAACTTTTAAAAGATGTTTCATAATCCTATGGGTACTCTGATGCATAGTCTGCCAAACACTCCACATCCTGTACAAATCATGTTAAAGCTGTCCTCTTTGCAGAAGATATGAATTATTTACGTGGAAAATTTTCCACGCAAAATATTCAAGGGCCTAAAGCATTCAGACCTGGTTAATCTATATCAAGGTGAGAATAACCTTAAAAGAATATTTGAATGTGGAATCCTTGATTGCAAATGTTCAATCTATCTGCAAAAGTGAATACATGTAAAATTAGCTGCAGACCCAATGAATTCTTGGGTCCAACCTAGCAGTGAGGCACAGTAATAGCATCTGCCGTAGGCAGCTATCTCTGGAAAGCTTTTTGTTCCATTTCTGCTCTGGCCACAGGCATAATTTAAATTTTAAAAATCTAGAATAAGTTACTCCAAGGTAAATGCATCATGTGTATACACCACATGTATATCCAAGACAAACAATTCTATTTGAGTTGATTAGGTCTGGCTTGCTATGTTATCAACTATATATAAAAGCACTTGGAAATAGTTATCTGTGGCTTCTTACAGAAGTATTTCTACTAGAAATAAGACAACAATATAAAAAAGAAGCAGTGCATAACTATATTAACTTTTTTTTTTTTAATACTAACCTGCCCCTTAGCAAAACCTTCAAATCCATCATTGATAGCAAACATTCTGTGTCCTTCAGTTATGCCAACTCTCACTGCAGACCTCACAGCAGCATTCATCCCAGCTGCAGGGGCACCTACATTTAAAATTGCCACATTAAAATTGCTCTGCAAGAGAAGAGAAGAAACGCTTAATGATTAACAGAGATTTAATAGTAAACAGAAATTTAACATCGAAAGATGTAAAGCAGCTCTCCAAAGAGCTAAAGCTGTTCTAGATTCAAGTGAGTACAAAGTTTCAATGCGTTACTTTCAAATTTTAAAAAGCTACACATGGATTATCAGTAAAGACAAAAACAATCTAATTTTTCTTTTCTTTCTTTCCTTTT